ACCGATCAGTACCCCATCAAAGATATGCAGACCTGGATTAAAATCAAAACTTTTAGCAGTCAAAGCATCAGGTGCACAGTTCTGTTCACAAAAAATGTGTCTAACTGAGCAATTCCAATCAGCACTCATTTTTAATTTGCAGCAATTAATGATGCTGAATAGGGGGTGGGTAGAAATAGTATAAATGAATAAACCAGACTATGAGGTTAGGAAGAGAATAGACTTGCAAGAAGACATAAAACGTCACCACCTCACGAGCCATAGAGACATTAATTAATGTACAGTAGTATGTGTCTGTCTTTTTTATTCAACCTAACAACCTTATAATAAGTTACGATTTGTTAGCCATAATACTCCATAGAAATCCATTTGTTAGCCTACCCAGGAGCAGGAGCAGGGGCAGATCCACATAGTAAATATCTTTGTCCTTTTACTTTCATTTATTTTTATATTACTCAATTTACTTAAGTTTACAATGTAAATAAGAAAGTAACCCCCATTTGGATTCAAATATAAATATTAGAAAATCAAATTCCCACCAAATCAAAATATGAAAAATCGGTTTTAGTGCAAAATATGATTTAGCAGGCTAAAAATGATGGCTCATTAGGTTAATATATACTTCATACTAAAATCTCATAAAATCAAGTTTTCTTATTTGATGTGTAAGGAATAAAAGTCGCCAAAAATTATCTTGAGAAAATGATTATTCTGAAAAACCATATTTCATACTTAGCCAATATTTTTATATAAAACAATTTTTCATGAATGATATGAATGTATGAAACAACCTAAGGTCAATCTAGGTAAAAAGCCTAAGATGTTCAATCTACAAAGAGTTTTACAAGAATAACCTAACTCTTAGGTATTGAAGAAATATGTGCTTGAATAAGCTCCCCCTAAGACAGTACTCATAAGGGTTCAAAGTTTGAGAGCTAGAACCTAAAAGAAATGCAAATAAAGTCCAAAATCAAAACGATGACGTACCTAAAAAATAACGTAAATGCCCTAAAATGAGCATGATTGATCTAATATATGCCAGCTCTTAGGTCGAATAGGACGAGACGCCTTGGGAGGCGAAGAGTATTGCACTAATTTTTTGGTTTATTATCACATTCTTAGAGATATTTCTGGTTTATTGCAGTGTGTGTCTATTTTTTGAAGTTGATGCAGTTCTCTTTGATAATGAACATAAGTATTTTGTATGGTTTTATCTATTAACTATGAATTAGAATCCTATCGTTTCATTTCGATAGGTCTATTTTGTATAGAAATTTTTGTAACCTTTCACACATTGACCCCCGTAATGAAAATTCCTGGATCCGCCACTGCCTAAGAGCATCTGTCAACTCTCTTTCCTTAAGCGTCTTGGCTTGATGGATTGTTACAAGCTTGAAGCATTGCCGGAGCTTCCATCTAGCGTGCAATTGTTCAAGCTTTTAATTGTGCTTCACTGGAAACATCTGGCGTAGGCATAGGATTTGAATTTTTCACTAACTATTTCAGACCGGTAGGGAAGCAGCAGCAAGGCAATAGTACATACGAATGTGAGTTTGAATTTCCTGGAATTCCAGAGTGGTTCAATGATCATAAAAGTGTGGGACATTCATTAGCTGTGGCTGCGTCCAGGTTGGTTAAGTGATAAGTGTAGGGGAATTTGTTGTGTTTCGAGTTATCCATTGGATTCACCTGAAGCTGTGTCGGTGCCAAGTCAGCGCTGGTTAAGCTACTACACACGTGAAGGATCCGGATCCATATTTAAATGCAGCAACCTGGATCCGTATCAGTTTTTTTTTCCTTCTTCCTTCCTTTCTATGCGTCCTCCCCCATACCCAAGCCTTGTAACTTTCTTAAAAATTGAACCAAATGATTCGGAATTTGTGGGAGGTGTGATGTGTGTTGTTCTGAAACAAAATTGTTAGAATTTAGGAGGTGTGATGTGTGTTGTTCTGATACCACTTGTTGGTTTATGTGGTGAAGGGGTTTAAGATAATAGATAATAGTTGAAAGAAAGTGATTTTATTAAATTTGGAGGAGAATAGTACGAGGCTCGGTGTAGAATAATTGGCCTCCTTAGTATTTTGGCTTATTAACCATCACACTTGCTTATGGTTTGGGCTATTTGGGCTTTTCACTTAGATTGGTGAGCTTATTGGCTCCTCAACATAGCTTACTTTTGGAGACTCTCTTGTTGGCTCCCTTAAACTAGTTTTGGTTAGCTCTCTTATAGCTCTCATATAGTTTGGGAGTTCTATTAGTTGATTCCACCTTATATGAGTACAACCATGCCTATTTATAGGCTTTGATTGCCGACATACACAGCCACCGACTTGGGCTTATTCTTCATTTCTTAGAGCACTTCCAGCAGTGAAACCCTTGCCATGGCAAGGGGGGGCTAGGGCAGCTACTATTCACGTGAATAGTGGCTGCCCTTGCAAAAAGCAATGTGTGTTTCCAGCAGTTGCCATGGCAAAGGGCAAACACTATTCATTTTTTTGTTTTTTTTCACATATTTGTTTACCTAAACAATTAATTTGAACAATATTTCTTTGAAAGATTTTTGGTGTGGGAAGTGAAAAATATGACTAAGTATTTATTTTAAAAAAAATATGAATTTTTTTGTTTTTGTTTTTTCCATTTTTTTCGATTTTTTAAATATTTTTTTTGTTGCTGACGTCAGCCTCCCTCGTTTTGGATCTGGGGCTAGACCTGTCCTCGGGCCAGCCCGTCTTCATGGCCCCCACATGGAACTCGGGCCAGCCTTAGCTGCTGGAACCCATTTTTCGCCCAAAACCCCCCTAGCCTGAGTCCAAAACTAGTTGCTGGAAATGCTCTTAGCCACATATGTGTCTTGTAGTAGAATGTTCTTCAAACTTCAATTGCTTTTGTTCCACCACCTTGAGCATTCAGCCACTGCTAGCTTGTTGTAGAATATTCTTGCATTGCCATCTTCATCTTTTGAAGTCTTGACTTTTCTAGAATTGTGGAGAAGACTAATGAGCATTATTTTTTCAACAAAAATAACAGTAAAGAAAAACATGTAAGTTGTAACGAGGATGAAGAACTGATTTGGGGAAGAGAAGATTAGGCTTTACTTCTAATGTTTTTTTATTTGGTGTTATTTTCATAGTCATTGGATGATATTTAAATGAGTTGACGTGTTTAAAATAAAAGTCAAGTAGATCATGGGAGAGAGAATCCAAATAAAATGGATTATGATTAGTCAGGCAAAGTGAGCTCAGCAACTGAAATACTTTTTATAACTTAATTTTCTAGTTACAAGTCAAAGCACGCTTTCGCCAACTTCCTCAATTTCGACCTTCATTTTATAATGAATCTTTAATGAGTCAATTAGCACATCTGAGTCAGTTCTACTATTACTATGACTTGAATTCAATTCCTCTTCAAACTTCAAACTCTTGAATGAATTAACTTCAATTCTTTTCCGCTGAACCTTTCAAAGTAATATTTCTCTTCAATTTTCGCATTTTCAACACTCAAAACTACAATTTAGAAAGGAAACAAAAGATTATAATTTAGAAGATTTTGGGTGTTGAAGTTGAGGCTTCACAATCACGAAAATAACTTAGAAACCGAGAAACTTAGAATTTATAATATTTTCTCTCATCATGAAACACTTTCATCCTTTGCCAGCTAAAACTTGAATTTTTTTTAATCAAGTGAAAATTACATTCATAATTCGACCACAAATGGATTTTAACCTAATTTTGTATGCCGATACATTTATCATGCCAGCTTCCATGCGTCGATAGGTGTGAGTAGTAGTGATTAGTGATGAGGCTAAAACCATGTAGATATTAACATTAAGCTGATATTCTTAAGTTGAGATTCCAACTCTAGAGTATCTATAAGTTTGTTGAATCTTATAAAATATTATACCAATGATCACATAAATTCCAAGTATATACCCTTCATATGAAATTTCATTTAGATTGAGTATCAAAAACAGCAGGCCCTACTCTGTTGGAAGAGGTCCCCACTTTGCGCTTGACCGTACCTCGAGAGATTTAGTTTCCGCAGTCGCGCGGAGGATACCCTGGGAAACCAAAAAACAGCAGGCCCTTGAAAAAGATTGAAAGAAACAGAGTTGAAACAGGGGCAGCGTGTAGTCATTGTCTACAGGTCAACGGCAGCATATAAAATCATTTATGATGTAAATTACTTAGGCCATTTAAATATCCCAATGCTTAAGAAAACAAATTGACATAACAGCACAGTATTTTGATATAAAATCATTTATGATGTAAAGTACTTAGGCCATTTAAATATCCCAATTCTAAATTGTATTTTGATATCCTTCAAGTACAACATACACCAATACTTTGACTTGGTATGAATACAGCACAGTATCTCTTTCAATATCACGTGTTACTACTTTGATTTGGTCAAGATTCAAGATTCTTGAGAACGCATTAAGACCGTCAAGTTTAGCAAGAAATAGCTATATATTATCAGTTTGACTTGGTATGAATATTCTAAATTGTATTTTGATAAGAAAACAAATTGACATAATTATTCTAAATTGTATTTTGATATCCTTCAAGTACACCATACACCAATACTTTGACTTGGTATGAATATTCTAAATTGTATTTTGATAAGAAAACAAATTGACATAATTATTCTAAATTGTATTTTGATATCCTTCAAGTACAACATACACCAATACTTTGACTTGGTATGAATACAGCACAGTATCTCTTTCAATATCACGTGTTACTACTTTGATTTGGTCAAGATTCAAGATTCTCGAGAACACACTGTTAAGAACGTCAAGTTTAGCAAGAAATTGCTATATATTATCAAATGATTAATCGTGTATTTCGTAATTAATTTTTCGTATACAATTGCTTAATTTGAATCAGAAATTTGGATCCTAGTATTTGGTCAACCATCCTTCCATCCTATATAAATACATGTATGTATAAGCCTCTTTGGATTGAAAAACATCATTGAAGCTTGCAAAAACAGATAGAAACATGAAGGTGGGGAAAGCAACCAACCTCTTTGGTTCTTTCTTCTTCCTTGTTTGTTTAAGCATTGAATTTTCCTTGGTTGTCAGGGGACAGAACAGAACAACAATCCCAGTGAATGTTGGTGTGGTTCTTGATGACCTTGATTCACCAGACACAAAAGTTTGGTTGAGCTGCATCAACTTGGGCCTCTCAGACTTTTATACCTCTCGTGGTTCCTCTACAACTAGGCTGGCTTTAAGCATCAGAGACTCCAGAGAAGGTGTTGTAGATGCTGCTGCTGCAGGTCTCTTTCTCTCTTCTTTGCTTTTCATTTTGAATTTTCAACAATTTGATTCTTCTTACCATCTATATAAGTTTGACCCTTCTGTTCATTTGATAAGACTACTTTTAAATGAAAAGAAGCATAGTAATTAAGTTCTTGTCCCTTTTTTTAAAACTTGTATTTTTTGTATTGATCAAACAGCTTTAGACCTGATAAAGAATGATCAAGTACAAGCAATCCTAGGACCGAAATCATCGATGCAAGCCAACTTTGTAATTGAGCTTGGAGACAAAGCCCAAGTGCCCATAATCTCATTTTCAGCAACAAGTCCTTCCCTCACTTCCATTAGGAGTTCATATTTTTTCAGAGCTGCACAAAATGACTCTTCCCAAGTCAAGGCCATAAGTGCTGTTGTCCAAGCCTTTGGATGGAGGGAAACTGTCCCCATCTATATGGACAACGAGTATGGCCAGGGAGTCATACCCTACTTGGTAGATGCCTTGCAAGAAGTTCAAGCTCGGGTCCCTTACCGAAGCGCCATACCTCCAGAGGCAACTGATGACCAACTTGTTGCTGAGCTTTACAAGCTAATGACCATGCAAACTAGAGTCTTCATCGTGCACATGTTGCCCTCTCTTGGCTCTCGCCTTTTTGCCAAGGCACAAGAGATGGATATGTTGGATGGAGACTATGTTTGGATCATGGCTAGTGGAATGACCAATCAATTAACTACCATGAATGCTTCAGTCATCAATTCACTGCAAGGCGCATTGGGTGTGAAGACCTACGTGCCACAAACAAAAGAGCTTGTCAATTTTAGAGCTCGATGGAAAAGGCAATTCCAAAAGGACAATCCAACCATAATTGATGCTGAGTTAGATGTTCCTGCACTCTCGGCTTATGATGCTGCTTTTGCATTAGCCATGGCAGTTGAAAATGTTGGGACTAAAAACTTTGGCTTCATTTTCCTTGGTTGTCAGGGGACAGAACAGAACAACAATCCCAGTGAATGTTGGTGTGGTTCTTGATGACCTTGATTCACCAAACACAAAAGTTTTGTTGAGCTGCATCAACTTGGGCCTCTCAGACTTTTATACCTCTCATGGTTCCTCTACAACTAGGCTGGCTTTAGGCATCAGAGACTCCAGAGAAGATGTTGTAGATGCTGCTGCTGCAGGTCTCTCTCTCTCTTCTTTGCTTTTCATTTTGAATTTTCAACAATTTGATTCTTCTTGCCATCTATATAAGTTTGACCCTTCTATATTCATTTGATAAGACTATTTTTTAAATAGAAAAGTTGATATAGATACAAATTCCTATTGAGGAGTTGGGTTTAATCCTTGGATTTGGTGACTTTGATCCAAATCCTTTGACTTTTGTGCTACATAGAATTACATTCCTTTTTAAATATTTTTTGATGTAATCTTTTTGTTATTTTATTTTTAAAATCATTTTTTGTTCCAATGTTGCCCCTAACTTGAATCGGGTAATAATCATTTATGTCATATTGCCTATTGCCTATTATCTATTGCCTATTGCATAGGTATATATATATGTTTTTTCATATTTTCGATAATGTATAATAGTATGACCTTGATTCACCAGACACAAAAGTTTGGTTGAGCTGCATCAACTTGGGCCTCTCAGACTTTTATACCTCTCGTGGTTCCTCTACAACTAGGCTGGCTTTAAGCATCAGAGACTCCAGAGAAGATGTTGTAGATGCTGCTGCTGCAGGTCTCTCTCTCTCTCTCTCTCTCTCTCTCTCTCTCTCTCTCTCTCTTCTTTGCTTTTCATTTTGAATTTTCAACAATTTGATTCTTCTTGACATCTATATAAGTTTGACCCTTCTATTCATTTGATAAGACTATTTTTTAAATGAAAAGAAGCATAGTAATTAAGTTCTTGTCCCTTTTTTTAAAACTTGTATTTTTTGTATTGATCAAACAGCTTTAGACCTGATAAAAAATGATCAAGTACATGCAATCCTAGGACCGAAATCATCGATGCAAGCCAACTTTGTAATTGAGCTTGGAGACAAAGCCCAAGTGCCCATAATCTCATTTTCAGCAACAAGTCCTTCCCTCACTTCCATTAGGAGTTCATATTTTTTCAGAGCTGCACAAAATGACTCTTCCCAAGTCAAGGCCATAAGTGCTGTTGTCCAAGCCTTTGGATGGAGGGAAGCTGTCCCCATCTATATAGACAACGAGTATGGCCAGGGAGTCATACCCTACTTGGTAGATGCCTTGCAAGAAGTTCAAGCTCAGGTCCCTTACCGAAGCGCCATACCTCCAGAGGCAACTGATGACCAACTTGTTGCAGAGCTTTACAAGCTAATGACCATGCAAACTAGAGTCTTCATTGTGCACATGTTGCCCTCTCTTGGCTCTCGCCTTTTCGCCAAGGCAAAAGAGATGGATATGATGGATGGAGACTACGTTTGGATCATGGCTAGTGGAATGACCAATCATTTAACTACCATGAATGCTTCAGTCATCAATTCACTGCAAGGCGCATTGGGTGTGAGGACCTATGTGCCACAAACAAAAGAGCTTGTCGATTTTAGAGCTCGATGGAAAAGGCAATTCCAAAAGGACAATCCAACCATAATTGATGCTGAGTTAGATGTTCCTGCACTCTCGGCTTATGATGCTGCTTTTGCATTAGCCATGGCAGTTGAAAATGTTGGGACTAAAAACTTTGGCTTCGAAAAGGCGAATGCTTCAACCAACTCATCAACTGATCTTGAATATTTTGGGGTTTCCCAAAACGGTCCAGAACTTTGCCAATCCTTGTCAAGTACTAACTTCAGAGGCCTCTCTGGGGATTTCAGCTTTGTTGAAGGGCAATTACAAAATTCCATTTTTGAATTGGTGAATGTGATTGGGAATGCAGCAAAAACAATTGGGTTTTGGAAACCACAGAGTGGACTTGAGAAAAAATTGAATTTGACAAACACAAACGGTCCATATTCAACCTCTAAATCTAATCTGGCACCTATTTTATGGCCAGGGGACTCTCCCTCTGTTCCCAAGGGATGGGAGATCCCCACAAACGGCAAAAGATTGAGAGTAGGAGTTCCTGTAAGTGATGGTTTTGCTGAGTTTGTGAAGGTGGTGCCTGGTCCTAGCGCTAACACAACCGTAGTTTTCGGATTCTGTATCGACGTCTTCAATGCTGCAATGGCTGCATTACCATATGCTGTTACTTATGACTTCATTCCCTTTGCAAAGCCTGATGGCACAAGTGCTGGCAGCTACGTAATAGTATTTTATGTACCTTTTTTTTTTTATAGGTAACATACAATTTTATTTTGTCTATTTTTGTATCTAATTTATAGGTAGTCTTCTAATTTATGTTCCTAATTTATAGGTAACATGATTTATCACTAAATATTTTTCGTTGCTAATAATAACACTATTTACCTGTATGTCAAGTACATAATTTAAAGTGGGTGCTTGTCTGATTGATTGGTATAATATGTGGGTCTTTACTTTTTATTGATTAAATTGTATTTATCCATAGATTAGGAATATTATCAAGGAAAAAATTCATAATTTAAATTATGGAATTCAATTACAAGAAAATAATGCATTAAATTTAGATTTTCAATGTGTTTTCCTTATTTACCTCAAATGGTAAAATCGACAGAAAAAAAAAGTAAAAAATGTCAAAGGACCTGTATCTAAAACCAAAAAGCGAGGACTAAATAACAACTAATCGTTTCGGACCTAGATCTAAGAAGTGAAAAGAAGCACAGTAATTAAATTCTTGTCCCTTTTTTAAAACTTGTATTTCAGAGGTGTTGATCCTAACAAGTTGAGGCCTTATAAATCTTCAGATGAATGCCATGAGTTTTTGACAAACGGGAGTGCAAATGGCGGCATTGCTGCCGCTATTGATGAAACCCCCAACATGAAGCTTTTTCTTGCAAAGTATTGCTCCAAATACACCATGATTGGCCCAATATTCAAAACTGATGGCCTTGGTTTTGTAAGCTCTCTCTCTTTACTTCTCTCACAAGTAACGCTCCATGAGCACATTCTTGAAAGACATTGCACACCACATTACTAACACATGAATAACGCTATTTGTATCACATACGTACGTGGCGTCAGTTCATGTTTCATGTTTCTTCTTTTGTACAAATGTACCAGGTCTTCCCCAAAGGTTCACCTTTAGTACCAGACGTTTCGAGGGCGATTCTGAACGTGACTGAGGGAGATGCCATGAAGGAAATTGAAAATAAATGGTTTGCAGGGGATGCAACATGTTCAGATACAAAACCCACCATCTCAGATTCCAACAGTCTTGGCCTTGATAGCTTCTGGGGTCTCTTCCTCATTGCCGGGGTCTCTTCGTCACTATCTCTCATCATATTTGCAGCCTCCTTCTGTTATAGGCATTGGCACATGTTCATGACAACAGGCGCTTCTGCATGGAAAAGAATCAAGGTGATGCTTAGAATCTTCGACCAAAAAGACCTCAGCTCCCATACTTTTAGAAAGACTGGTTCTCAAGATAGAAAATACATGTACAATGCTGGCAGTATAGCTACATCTGTCGAGGCTTCACCAAACAATAACAGCAGGCGCCCACCAAGCCCACCAAGCCCTGAGTCGATTGGCCGTTCAAACCACACAAATCCACACTCACCTTTCTGAACTTCAGAGGAGAAGGAATATTACAGGTTGTTGTTGGTCAAGAATATCCAGAAATGTGAAGAAGTGATGAAGGAGCTCAAGAACACAATTAATTAGTAAAATAATTATTAAGTTTTCATAATTGCTGTATGATAATTAATCAAATAATATAGCTAGGCATTGTACATATTCACCTTAAAACAATATATATATGTTTTGTGTATTATAATTTATAAACAATTAGTATATGTGCTAATTTTCATCGACTATGGTCTATAAGTTTTGAAAATGAGGCTGCATGTGAGAACCTCACCTGGGTTTCCACACAATTTGCTTCTTGAGTGGAATTGGGATTGGGGCATATAAGCCTTGCCGGCCCAGACTTGTTTTTGGTAGTTCTTTCTTTTGGACCTCTGGCCTTTTGTTACCCTAAAAAATACCCTAAAAAACCTATTCAATTAATATTATACAAAGTTTTTCATTATTTAATTATCAAATTGGTAGACGTGAGTTTGATGACAGTCAAATTATTCCTGACACTAATTTTTTGTTTGTTTGTTTGTGAAATGGGGGATTAATCCCAATACACACAAAAATTAAACAACGATAATACAAGTTTTAGGAACTTCTAACAAATTATCATCAAAGGTAGCCTTTATCGAGTTAGGAATCTCATTAAACACAAAGAACCCCAAATCAAAATTATAGCTGACTTTCGCTAAACAGTTAGCCACCCTTTTTAATGTAGGACAAATCATGGGTTTGTTCCTACGAAGGAAATTTGAAAAAGGGGAAATTTTGAAAATTAGAAAATTGTGCTTCAAATATGGAAAATCATGCTTGAGCATCAATTATGGCACTAGGAAAAGAAGGAAGGCGTATCGTTGGGATTTTCGGGTTGCTTGATTTCTTGAGAAGATCTATATTATATTTATATTTTTTGAATAAGTTATCAATCAGGATATTATTTTTCAGATATGATTTTATTGAGGCCCAAAAAAGTCACGAGAAGCCCAAAGACATTTAAAGCCCAATATAACATATAATGTTGGTCATGCGTTAATCCAAGCTGTATTTTGGGAATTAATTCATTAAATAAATAATAGTGTCCATGCCATGTGTTCGGTTCATTTTTACACATGATTTTTCATGTTATTCACCTATTATTTTGAGTTAGTTCTTGACATTTTATAGCTTTTTACTTCCTTTTTGTGTTTTCTTAGATTTTACCTTGGTTAGAATGAAAATGAGCTAAAAGTGCATTATTGGTTATAAATTCTGATTTTGTTCATTTTCGTAGGTCAACTTCTTGGCCTTGGATCAGCATGCTCCAATGCTCAGATGAGGTGAAGATCTTCATGAAACTTGTTCCAATGGATGTTAACTACAACATATCCAAATTTGAGCTCCATTGGACAAGTTTAGCCTATCCAACTGATCCTATATGTTACAGCAGCTCTGGAAATCCGAAGTAGGCCAGTTTTTTACCTCCATAATGTTATCTTGATTCTTCTTGTTACCATAACACTTGGTAACAAGAAATTACCTTAGTAAATGAGATATTTTCTGAAGCAATTGGCATCTTTGTGAAGACAAGGCTTCATCATGGCAAAGGGGACAAGGGCAAAGGCTTTAACTAAAGCATGAGTTTTATATTATATCTTTGAGCTGGAATTGATGGGCAAAAGGCACATGGGAGTGCAATCT